TTCATATGCTACAAAAGATGCACCATAGGCTTGCCCGTAGTGTACTACTCTACTAATCGAGCTCATTCAGTCTAGGATCAAGTAGGACTTTAATTGGTTGTAATGTAGACTGCGGGTCGGGTAGGATATATTTGAATATAAGAGTGACTACACCTCCCTAAGCACTTTAATACATATACTTTAACATTCAAACCCATACGTATGTCAAATCAAAACTCCACCTTCACATCAATGTATATTACCCCATACTTCTTTAAGCACAATTACATCAAAAGCCACCACCATCAAGGAATATTCTTCACAACAGTACAACTATTTTTTTTTCTTTCTTTTTCAATTCAAGTGGCTTTTATTTTTTCAAAACAGTGCACCTTTCTCCGGTCTAATGTCGGTCTCCCTGTCCAATCTCCACAGCAGCTCCGTGCTCTCCCTAGGTCTAAATTATGTCAAAAGTGACGTTTTTAGGTTTGTTTATATGGGTAGGAAAAGACCTAAACGTGTAGGCCAAGTCCTAGTCAAATCAGGAGACGAAATAAGTATTCAAAATTCGGAATGTGCATGCCCCAGGCCTGGCGTCACCAGGCTAAAGCCTGGTTAAGCTGGCCTTTGGGGGGCCTCACCAGGCTAAAGCCTGGTCTCTCCTTTTCACTGTTCTCGAGCACACTTTCAAAGTTTAAGTATCCCTTTTGCTCTACTTTCATCTCCAATTCACATACACATAAAATAGACTCCATTACGCGCAAATAAAGTGTAATTTATCATTAAAGCATATAAAATATAAAGCACATAATGTACGAAACTATAGAATTATAGCCACACATCACTCACCTAAGGAGCTGACATTAATTGGTATGAGGTTCTGTCAGTGAGTGTAATTGTACATATCTTTTATAAAAATAGGTTAGAAGTCCAGGAGTTAAAATACATAATTATCGATGTAAACTAGAGCTCAAAACCTTGATTCGAGACAGATGCTTTTTTGATTCTATAAATCAAAAAGTAAAATAAGTTGTTAAAATTTATAATTATTCTTTACTCTAAATTATTCTATAAGTCCCATTTTATAAGAAGTGGTTTGAAGTCGAGGAGTTGAAACACATAATTCTCGATGTAAACTCGAGCTCAAAACCTTCCAGTTTTTCAAATAAATTTATAAAATGGTAATTAAACTGCGTGAAAAGTGTTATAAGTTAGCATAATTAATAATAATTAAAAATATTTAAAAAGAGTTTGAGAAAATTATACTAAAAGAAAACTTTATTTGATTCCTCAAAGAGTGATAGTGGCACGTAAATTGGAGAAAGTACTATTCTCTTTGAGAAACAAGTGATATTCTATTCTAATTTGTTGTGACTTTCATAATTGTCTTGAAGTTTTGGCATATATATCAAAGCTTTCCAATACTAATTATTTTACATAATGAATAATTACATAAAAGAATATTTTACATTTGAGTGGTATCTATTAAAGAAAAATTTAGGCATAGTTTTCAATTCTATTTAAAATAATTGTAAATGTTGGATACACGCATATTCAATAACGAGAAAATAATCTCAACTCTATAGTTTTATAGATGTAAAGCCTACTCTAAGCATTTTAGGACAAGAATAAAAAATATTATGTAAAATTCCCCTTTGCACCCGCTTCTATTCGTTATCTAAAAGGAAAAGGAAAACTACGTAAAGGCCACATTAGTGCAATGTCAATTTTAATCTTCAAAATTTGCAAAACGACGACAAGTGTTTATATGCAATGGGGTGGCGGCCTGTTTTGGCACCGAATAAACCAAATCATGCTTATTTTTAACAAAAGAGGGTGAAATATAATGGTGAAGTACACAAATATCTGATTTTGGGACTACTATTTAAGTTGTTTGAATTTTATTTTATTTTATAAATTTACCCACTTCGGAATACATTTTAGAATTCACATGTGATCATTTCAGAATTCGGATATGAAGTTACAATTAGGGTTCAGAATCGGCTCTGAAGTTTTAATCGTTTCAACTAAAGTTCTTATCATTTCAAAGTGCAAATTCAGAATAAGATATGAAGTTCTTATCACTTCAAAGTGCAACTTCAGAATAGGAGATCTCTGAACTCTGTTTTAAAAGGAAGAATTGGGACTCGCCTGGGGCTTGCCTCGGGGCGGAGCACTCGTAAAACGCCCCTGGGCTTATGTGTGGGGCTTAGTTCCGTGAGACTTACACCTCGGCCACCGGGGCTTACGCCCCGGACACGCCCAACGCCCAGGGTACTGGGCTCGCCTAATAGAACTTTATGCAATTGTATGTAACTAACCGTGTAAACCCTCAAATTTTCTTAACGAATCGTTGACTATTCAAATTACTTCTTTCTTAATCATAAATCATTAAGTTGAGAGTATTTTATGTCATAATTAAAATAAAAATTATTGCACGTTATCCGCTAAGACTGCTATGATAGTAAATTTTAAATAAATCTTTCATTTCAAAAGTATTTATTTATTAGCTTTTGTTATGTCTTTACTATATAATAGTTATCATGATATTGTATGGTGAATTATGTGTTAGTTCATTAACTTGTTGAAACTTAAAAATAGATGATGCTAGAGAATCATATTTAAATTGTGAATTATGTTTTTATATAAATTCTCTTTCGAATAGAAAGCATATTAAATAAGGCTACCGTGAACAAGAGGCAGCTACAGCAGGAACACCTGTACGCCTTCAAATCTAGTAACCATCGAACGCAGCAACATCGGCATCCGGGATCTGCACGTACTGTGCAGGAAGTGCAGTATGAGTACAACTGACCCCATATACTCAAAAAGTAACATGCCTAAACTTAGGCTGAAAGCAGTGACGAGCTGGAACATAGGTCGGGTCCAATACCAATAACCAATAACAGTTCATAACATGTAAAACATATAAATAAGGAAGTAACTCAGAGATAAAGTGTTCAGCTGTTTCACAGTTTTCCAAAATAGTTCTGCCTTTCAAGAGTATCAGTGAAAACCCAAATTCCTTACCGAAAACGTCGCGAAATATGAGATAGTTTGAAAAACTATATTTTCTTTTCCAAAACTCCTTTTCACAATAAATAAGATGTTTCATTTTCTTTCCCGATAGCAAGTGGGACATACCTCCCTATGACCACATATCAATGTGTGAAAACTGTCATGAATGACGTGATACCGTACAATATGAGGAAAATGTGTCTCTATGCATGTATGTCATATATGCATGCCACGTGTACCTCAGAGGTGAATCATGTACTCATACTATTAGATTACTCAACCTCACTGTATCACACCGTCCACTCATCATAATCAACCACTCGGTATTGTATATGGCCCATATGGCCCAGGTAAGATCCATCCCGGAATATATACATCATTGACAATAAGTCACCCAGTACCGAAGAAACATGCCAATCCAGCCTCATGGAGAAGATCCATCTCCATACCAAGGGAAGATCCATCCCTAAATATAATCAACCACGCTCACTGGGGGTGTGCAGATTCTAGAGGGGCTCCTACAGCCCAAGCGCTATAATCCGCACGGACAACTGACGTGCTGCACAGACAACTCACGTGCTATAACATCAATAACAGAATCCGCATGGACAACTCACGTGCTATAACATCAATATCAGAATCCGCACGGACAACTCATATGTCATAGTCTCAACCTCTCGCAATCAGGCCCTCGGCCTCACTCAGTCATCACTCTCCAGTCTCACCCACGGGCTCACAATGTCATGAAAACTGATCCGAAACAATGATGTGATGTATCAATAAGCAACAACTGAGACTGAGATGTGATATGAATGCATGAATGCAATTGAGTATGATATATCAATGAAATCAATAAGATGACAGCAAGAAACGACCACTATGGGTCCCAACAATATTTGCATAAAGCCTAAACATGATATTTAGCATGATGTACAAGCTCAATTATTTTATCACATGGTAAAAATATAGATATCAATAAAATAGGGCCACTATTCAGTGCCCTGGAAACAACAAAGTCACAACTCACAGGGTGAATGCCCACACGCCCATCACCTAGCATGTGCGGCACCTCAACACCAATCACACAACACATAAATTCGGGGTTTCATACCCTCGGCACTAAGTTTAAAAGAGTTACTTATCTTATACAAGCCAATTCCGACACCGAGAAAGCCAAGCGATGCTCCAAGAATGCCGTCACGTGCGTTCTGACCTCCGAACGGCTCGAAACCCAGTTCATATACTGAAAATCGCCTAAAAAATTGCCCAATTCCAAGCTCCCCAACTCAAAATATATCAAATGCACAAAACCCTTATTTTAACACTGTTATGCCTCGTTTCTTATGCCAAAAGATCTCGAAACTCCCTTTTGATGCCTCCAATGGATTCCTTGTGAAATTTTAGTCAAGTTAGGCTCTTGAATCACTCCATTCGACCTTATATTGAAGGAGATATGTTGGTTCCAATATTTGAAAATAGTACAGATTTTTAAATACGCAGTCAGTGGCAATTTCGTAATTAATCTGAAAAATCTAGCAACTCAATTCTTAGTAAAATGACCATAAAATCCTCATACGATGTCCTAATTTGACGATTTGTTTTTATATGGCTCCGTAATTACGATACGGATCTAATGCTTCAATCAAAAATAGAAACTGGAGCTCATTTGTTCAATGTGTTACCATTTATGCTTGAAGAAATGGCGTTGAAACATAAGAAAAACGAGCGCAACACAACCCAAACCTATCCGAAACTCACTTGAGCCCCTCGGGACCCTGTCGAAACAAACCAACAAGTTCCATATCATAATACAGACCTAATCGAGGCCTCAAAACATACACAACAATATCTAAATGACGAAACGCACCTCAAATCAAACTTAATGAACTTTCAAACTTTCGACTTTCAAAAACTCACGCCGAAACATATCAAATCAACTCGGAATAAACTCAAATTTCGCACACAAGTCCTAATACATCATAAGGAGCTACTCGTGCCCCAAACTACTGAGTGGAGTGCAAATGCTCAAAACAACCGGTCGAGTCGTTATAGTTAAATGGGGGAGACCTAATGGATACATCATCAAGAATACCTGATGGCCTCTTCACTGTTCGGTCGCCTAGCTGTAGTAATATGTATGTGGGCCTTGCTCTTCTAATGCCTAACCTTTTATAGATAGACAAGTGCATCAAGTTTATGCTCGCCCCTAAATCACACAATACTTTAGCAAAACCATAGCTACCTATGGTGCATAAAATTGTGAAACTCCCTGGGTCGGATAGCTTCTCGACTATGGGTCTTGTTACGACAATACTATAGGTTTGAGTCAGTGAAACAGTTGCCACGTCTTGAAAGTAGAACTTGCGAGACATCAAGTCCTTCATCATTTTTACATAACTGGGCATCTCCCTCAATGCATCAATCAATGGGATGTTCACCTGAATCTGCTTTAACATCTCCATGATTTTCTTATATTGCTCATCATTCTGATGTTGGGCCAACCTCTGTGGGAAGGGTGCTAGAGGTTGCTTCTTTCCTGTGGCTTGAGTTAGATCCTGCTCAGGCACTTTTTCTAGTTCCTTCTCTTGCACTTTCTTAGTCTCCTTTGCAACCTCTTTTTCTTTCTTTAGTTCCTCTTGGGCTTGTTGCACTCTTACTTCTGTTAGCTCAATTGACTCATATACCTCAATTGGTACTGGAACAAGTATCTCAGTTGGTCGGCTTTCACGAGCAATTTATCGCTCTAAATCAAAATCTCTACCATTTTTCAGACTCACAACCATCAGCTGCTTCGGGCCCTGCTCTTTCGGGTTATCATGTGTGGCTACAGGTAACGTCCCTTGAGGACGATCGTTAAGGGCAATAGATATTTTACCTAGTTGAATCTCAATGCCCTTGATAGCTAAGTCGTGTGATACTACCTTTTCGTGCATCTGGTGTGACTTTCTTGCATCTGGTGCACCTTTTCTTCCACTTTTCCACTGGACCTAATGAGTTGTTGCAGCATTCCTTTAATTTTGAACAACCCGTCATCTTGTCTCACTATCTGTTATTGTTAAGGCTGTTGGTAAGCTATCTGCTGATTCTGTTGATTGTATCTATGTTGCCTTTGGTAAGGCACAACTTGACCCTGTGATCGCATAACTCCAAGATTGTTGTTGTTATTGTATTGCTGCTGAATCTGTTGCCCCCAATTGTGACCACCTTGCCTCTGGCCTCCATAATTTCCCACATAGTTCATAATCTCTTGGTAGTTCTGATTTTCACTCTCACCACTCCACGAGCACACATATGGCTAGTTAATGCATTGTGTGCATAATCCTCCATTTGTCGTGTCAACTATGTGCACCTGCTTTTGGCCCGACACATCAATTTTTTTTTGTGAGGATACTCAATTGCGTCATCATAGTAGCCATATTCTCAGCCATGGAGTGAACTACCAAAGTGATTGTAGAGTCCCTTGTCATTCATCCTGAGTTTTGAGCCATTTTATCAAGCAGAACCTTACACTCTCTGAATAATTTGCTCAAAAATTCTCCACCTGCTAAAGCATCAACGTTGGCTTTCAAGTTGTCTGCAAATCCCATGTAAAATCTAAGTCCCAGCATCTGATCCGGAATGATATGGTATGGACACTTAACCAACATCCCTTTGAATCTCTCCCATGTCTCTTGCAATGTTTCAGCTGGTTTCTGCTTGAAGCTCAATATCTCATCAACTTGCTCGGCAGTCTTATTTGGTGGGTAGAACTTGTTCAAAAATTGCTTGATTAATTTCTCCCAAGTAGTGATTGAGTTAATGGGAAGCGAATTAAGCCAAGTTTGAGTCTATCCAATCACTAAAACGGAAACAATAACAGTTTGATTGCTTTCGGTGTCACATTTGGTTGCCTTTGAGTGAAACAAATTATCAGAAAATTTTTCAAGTGCTTTGTGGATCTTCAATGTAAGACCCATAGAACAGTCCCCTGTTCTACAACAGATGTAGCGTGTTGTTTATGATTTAAAATGACTCTACTTGTATCTGAGGGGCTGCAATTTCGGTTGCTAAATTTTTAGTAGTGGGTTGTACCTAATCATACAAAGCTGCTTCTGGCACAAGAGGTGCGACACCCTGATTGTTTGGGTTATTTATATTGTTTTGATTGTCCAAAACGTCACCCATGTCTAATTCAATTTGTTCTCTTGGGTGTTGTTGTCGTTTGTCCTTCCTGTTTGTATGATTTAATGCCTTGAATGCTTTCTCAGAATCTGATAATGCTTCAAACAATTTACCAGTTCTTGAGGAGTTTCTAGGCATGCACATGTACACACAAAACTACAAACATTAGAGTTTCAATATAATAATTTCAAGTCGAGAAAGGCGAGTAAACTACGAATTCGAACAATTCTTTTACCCGTAATTAATAACACCGTTAATTTTCCAGCAACAACGCCAAAATTTGATCATTCCCAACTATGCCTCCTAAGAGGTCTAGGGGTCGTTGCATATACAATCCGGTTTACAAGTCCTGAGTCGAATCCCACAGGGAATTAACCTATTAATTACAACCATTAGTTTCGAAGAATTCAAACAATCAACCTTCAAAAATATTGAATAATGAGTTGATTGTTTACTAACAAAAAGCAAGGTAATTAAAAAGTTGTAATTTAATTACTAACAAAGCAATTGTTGTAGACAAGATTGGGAAGGTCTAGGGTTACGATTTCCCTCCTCGTCGGTATCCTCGCCGCCACGTCTCCTATAAATTCGCCTAGATATTCTTCGTGAGTACTTTAGGTGTCGTAATTCTTTTCCAATCAAATACAATTACTAAACGTATTCTTCCTATCTACGCTAGCTGGCACTAGTTTACCGCTCACTAAGATTGTACCAAGATTTTATTGTTCCTAGTGCCACCTTTAAACCCTTCGTATTGATTCCTCATATACGTTAGGAGTGAAGTTGGTTAACAACTATCTAAATGTGTACCCTTTTCCAAGCAATACACACTAAATAGGCACAACCAATTGAGGGCCCTTCAATCAACCACAATAATCACATAGTTGAATAAGTAGAGAAACTCCAATGGAAAACTTATATTAAACGCAACAAAAATTCATCCTCCAAGAGGTTCCATCAAACCCTAGATGAGAATTTAGCTATTCTTAATTGTTTGCACAAATACAAGATTATAATTCATAACAATGGACAATTAGGAAGAAAGAGGAAAAAACATGAAGTTGAATCCTTCTCCTTGCTCCAAGCGTGTTCTTGCCTCTCCAAATTCTTCCCCGCCCCTCCCTTCAAAAAGTGGCTAACTCTCATATTTATATGGTTTAGGGTTGAGTTGTGACAAATTTGGCTTCTCCTAATTCGAATTGGAAAAGCTGATTTTTTTCTGCTACGGTCCCGGTCCGGCAAAGTGAACCGTGCTTCGCTGTCCCGGACTTTTCTCTTCAGCTCTTTTTTCACCAATTTTTCTCCCATTTGATCCTTTTCTGCGCAAGTTTGTTCCTACACATAAGAAAAACATGCATTTTTCATCCTTTATCACACCCGATTCTATCCGTTATCTAAAAAGAAAAGAAAAATTATGAAAAGGCCACATTGTTTGGTGCAATGCCAATTTTAATCTCCAAAATTTGCAAGACAACGACAAGTGTTTAGCAATGGGGGTGGCGGCCTGTTTTGGCACCAAATAAACCAAATCATGCTTATTTTTTACAAAAAGGGTGAAATACAATGGAGAAGTGCACAAATACTCGATTTTGGAGCTACTATTTATCTCCAAAACCAGCTAAAACAGCCACCATAACACCATCACTACTTCCGCCATCACTACTAGAAAACTGTCATTTTTCATCCAAGCCATACTGACTGAAATCGGTCGGAAGAAAACCCAACCAAAATCGGTCGTAAATATGTGTATTTAGTCACAAAATTCAACAAATATTTTTCTGATAACAGAAACAATGGTCCCACAGCAAAAAAATAAAAATTTCGACCGATTTCGGTCGGAAATTAGTCAATATTTGACCCACACCTGGTCAAACTTGTATATAATGTACAAAAATAATTTTTTATTAACCTTTTTCCAAATTTCCGACCAAACTCGGTCGGAAAGTCTAAAATTAATATTTACTGCCCATGACAAAAAAGTAATATCGCTTATACTTAAATATTTCCCACCGATTTCGGTCGGAAACACAATTTTATAATAATTAAAATATAAATTTAATAATATTTATGTGTGAGTGTGTTATATATATATAACGACCTGACCGTTCGTTTTGAGTATGTGCACCTCGCTCGGTTGTCTGAGGGCGTGAGTAGCTCCGTATGATGTATTATGACTTATGTGAATCGTCGATTTTGGTTTTCAGGTTATTCGGAATTGATTTGGAAGAATGATTCTCAACTAGAAGCTTTAAATTTGAAAGGTTCGACCAAGTTTTGACTTTGCAGTATTTGACCTCAGATTGGGTTTTTGATGGTTTCGTTAGCTCCATTGGGTGATTTTGGACTTAGGAGCGCGTTCGGATTGTGATTTGGAGGTCCGTGGTAGAATTTGGCTTGAAATGGCGAAAATTGGAATTTTGGAAAGTTTGGTCGGGAGTGGACTTTTTGTTATCGGGGTCAGATTCCGATTCCGGAAGTTGGAGCAGGCCCGTAATGTTATATATGACTTGCGTGCATATTTGAGGTCAATCGAACGTGATTTGATAGGTTTCGGCATCGGTTGTGGAAGTAGAAGTTTTAAAGTTCAATGATTCCGAATTGAGGTGTGATTCGTCGCTTTGATGTTGTTTTAAGTGATTCAATGGTTCGATTAAGTTCGTATGGACTTATATGACTTGTTGGAATGTTTATTTCAGGTCTCGAGGGGCTCGAGTGTGTTTCGGGTTATTATCGGATCAAGTTTGATGTTTGGCTCATTGCTAAAGTTGGTCTGTTGCTGATGTAATAGCACCTGCGAGGCTATTGCCGCAGGTGCGACACCGCAGGTGCAGTGGGAAGGACGCAGGTGCGGATGTGTGTTGGATTGGGGAAGACCGCAGGTGTGAGGTCTTTTTCGCACCTGCAAGGTCGCAGAAGCGGATAAGGAGTGCAGGTGCGGAGATGCGAATTTAAGTGGGTTCCGCAGAAGCGTAGGATTTATCGTAGAAACGACGCCGCAGAAGCAGCTAACGTGTCCGCATATGCAGAAATGCTGGACAGAATGTTAAATACAAGGGTTTGCTATTTTGGCTTCATTTTAACATTTACAAGTGCGGATTGGGGCGATTTTGGAGCAATTTTCATCACAAGGATTGGGGTATGTGTTCTCTACTCGGTCTTGGTTATATTTCATGAATCTATCTTTGATTTTAGCTTTTGGTTGATGAATTGAAAGAGGAAATTGAGGGTTTTGGCCTAAAGTTTCATAATATGAATTTTTGAGTTTTGAACACCGATTTGGAGTCGGATTTGAGTGAAACTAGTACGGTTGGACTCATAATTGAATGGCTTGCCGGTTTTCTTGAGTTTTGTCGAGTTTTGAGGCGTGGGCCTGGGTGTGATTTTTTGCCAGATTTGGGATTTGATGTAGAATTCGATCTTTATTAAATGTAATTGCTTTCTTGGGCTTTATCTGATGTATTTAAGTTGCTTTGGCTAGTTTTGAGCCGTTCGGAGATTGCTACGCGCGTGATGGCATTCTTGGAGCATCGCTAGGCTTGCTCGGGGCCGGAATTGGCTTGTTTAAGATAAGTAACTCTTCTAAAATTAGTGTTGAGGGTATGAAACCCCGAATTATGTGTTATATGATTAGGGTTGAGGTGACGCACATGCTACATGACGGGCGTGTGGGCGTGTACCTTGTGAATTGGGACTCTATTGTTCCTAGGGCACTGAATATTGGCCCTATTCTTGTTGATATCTGTATTTTCACCATGCGATTAAGTATCTGAGCTGTCCAATCATGCTAGATATCATGCTTAGGCTTTATGTTGTTATTGTTTGGACCGATAGTGGTCGTTTATTGCTGTCATCTCATTGAATTCATTGATATT